GTGTATGGAGGCACCATGAGAAATATCCTATGGACTGTGCAGGTTGTTTTGAGAGAAAGTGGCACTATCCTGAGGAACCGGTACCTGCATGCATGAGCAATACACATGAAAACTACAAGTGGATACTATAGTAAGTAAAGAGTGAGATAGTGGTTGTGCTACCATGCCTCCCACAACCAGTCAGATGCTGAAGGCTGCAAAGATGGCAGCGAAGGCCAAGCCATGAGAGGAGCTGGCCTAAAACCTTAGCATAGTCAGAGGCAAAATCCTGTGCTGCATCCCACAACCCCCAACACAGCACACTTTCTTGGTATGAAAACCAATTATTTTACAAGGAAAACTGTGATTTCATCTCCAAATCTCTTCATTTCAGACCTCAGATTAATCCCAAACCCTTTACCTTTAGACCTCAGATCAACCCCAAACCCTGCACCTCCAGATCTCAAGTCAACCCCTATTCATGCGCCTTCATACTCTAAAGGTGCATGCATTGGGGCTGATCTCAGGTGTGAAGGTGTGTGAATTGGGGCTGACCTAATACCTGAAAGTGGTGGAATTGGGGCTATTATGAGATCTGAAGGTGTGAGAATTAGAGCTGATCTGAGGCCTGAAGGTGTGGGAATTAGAGCTGATCTGAGGCCTGAAGGTGTGAGGTTTGAGGTTATTGTGAGATCTGAAGGTGCAGGAATTGGGGCTGATCTGAGTTATGCAGCTGCAGGAATTTGGGCTGATCTGGGATCTGAAGGTGCGGAAATTGGGGCTGATCTGAGTTCTGAAGGTGCAGGAATTGGGGCTGATCTGAGTTCTGAAGGTGCAGGAATTGGGGCTGGCTGCGGGCCACATAGTACCGGCTCGTGGGTCGCAATTGGCCCGCGGACCGGTACTTTGAGACCACTGTTCTAATGCCTCACCTCTATATCCAAAACTATAAAAAACTGCCTTTCGTTAGACTTTAAAAACTTTGAGTCACTGACCTAGAACAAGAACAAGTATGCAGAACAGGCTCTTCTAGCTTATATTCTTCTTGTATATGATTATCTTCTGTTATTACCATTCCCAGGTAATTGAAAGACTGAATTCTACAGGAGCTTCCAAACAGGCTCTTAAGGTCATCAATGTTTCTCCATTTTGTTTTATTTCTAGACATCGATCATATGCTTAGTTTTTGAGGGCCGGCCTTAGGCCTTTAGGCGCCCTGTGCGAGAAAGCTTTACAGCGCCCCTCAGTGGCCACACCCTTTAGTGGCCACGCCCCGTAACCACACCCATTTTCCCCAATATATGCACCATTTAAAGACTCCTATTTTGTTAAGCCGCAAAGAAACATATTAAAAAGTGTGATAAAAGTAAAACTTTTATTCAAAGGTATTAAACTTGTAGGCACAATAGAAGTATTCTTATCAAATAAAACAACAGAAGGTAAACAAAAATGTCAAACTACAATAGAGTCTAAAAAAATAAAGTGTCAGGATGTCATGCAGACCCCTTTTTTCAAGTAAGTGCATCTAGGCCTTCTTTCTTAGTCGCTTGCAGCATATTGCCCCTCATTTCCCCCAGACTCTATACTGATTTTGCCATTAGTAAGAAGCTGCGATTTCAGAACCTTTGTTATGACATTTGAAGATGAATTTCTCAACAATGTCCATAGTTACAGATGTGACTGAGAAAATAAATCAAGGCAACTGGCCTTTTCTTTAAGTATTTTTGCTTGTCATCCAACCAGCTTTCTCAATTCAGAATGACTTGTACAAAAATTATCGGGGAATAAATGTGGTGAATGTTGCTCCAATCCACATAATCTGTAAATTATAAGCAGCATGGAGCCAGAGACCTCATTGAGGTAAGGTGTTCATTGCATTTGCAATGAACACCTTTTTTGCATTTTGCATGATTGGAGCTAGCAGGTGTCATTAAGCCGCCTAGAGAAAGGTGTTAAAACAGCATTGAATGTGGCAGACAATAGATGTCTCACCCCCCCACCTCTATTCAAGCTTGGCTTCTCCATTTTTACATAAATCGCCTCTTTCACACCTCTTGTAAACCAGTCCTCCTTCCTGTTTAGGATGCGTACTTGACTGTCTTCAAAGGAGAGTCCTTTATCCTTTAGGTGTAGGTACATTGCCGAATCCTGACCAGAGGGTTTGGTTCTTTCTATGCCGTGCCATAGCAAGTTTTAAGGGCTCCCCTGAGGTGTTTGAATTCCTTCGTCTCGGCCTCTGTGCTGGTAGGGATTTTCTCTGCCCGGTGGTGTAGAGTCCTGATGACTACCAGTTTGTGATCTAGAGCAGTGGTTGTCAATCTGTGTAACCTCCGGACCCACATTTGTCCTTGGTCATTATGTCGCGACCCAAGTCGCATGGCACTTGAACGCATGGCACTTAAACGCATGGCATTGCGGCACCACACCTTTTGGGGTGGGCAATCAAACTGTGGGCGGGAGGTGCATTTGGGGTGCCAATCAAATGAATGACAACACAACTTCCGCACTAGGACGCGCAATAGGTGCGATTCTGTGGTACAGTGCAATAATCGCAAGGGACTGTGCAATTAACGCACTGTACTAGTGTGAACAGGTCCTCAAATACACTGACCGACACACAACCACAGACACAATGTCACACATTCAGACATTCTCACACACAAACACAATCCAAAGAATATTGTAATTTTTTAAAGATCCACACAGTCGCACTCTTTCGAGAACTGGAGAGGGTCCTCAGCCTGGGGTCCAGTGTGGCCTGCTGTGCTGGAACTCCATCCATATGCGCATTGCTTGTACAGCTCCCTTCCATGCCCTGTAGGTGTCGGGAGTCAGAATGTGACATCACTCCAGTCCAGGCACCTCTACTGGTCACGTGAGGGAGCTATAAACAATGCACAAATGGATGGAGCTTCCTCACGGCCATACTCCCAACCAACCACACCTCAAGCTGACATTCGGCGCCGGGCAGCATATTATGAATGGTTGCTTGGCGCAAGAACTAACTGGGAGGCTGAGGAGCCTCTTACCTAGCGCAGTGGAAGGAACGCAGTGACCCACTAAACATGTGGTTGCAACCCTCTTTTGGGTCACAAGCCATCAGTTGAGAACCATGGATCTAGAGTATGGTGGGAGTTAAATAGTAGATACTGGTCCATGCATGTGTTGATTTTTTGTAGACCTCTATTTCCAGTCTCCTCCCCTTTCTACTGTTACAAAATAGTCCAAGAAAGCCTATGTGTTGTTTTGTATATCTTTGGTTATGATTAACAGATTACGTGGATTGGAGCAACATTCACCATATTTATTCCCAGATAATCTTTGTACAAGTCATTTTGAACTGAGAAAGCTAGTCAGATGACCAGCAAAACGTCTTCAAAAAATATACAGCCTTGATTTCTTTTTTACAGATATACCATGACCTGGATGAATGAGAACCTTCACAGACATAGAGGTGACTGAGGGTTTGTCAATACTCTCTTGTATCCAGGTTCACTTTAGCAGTGGCGTCACAAGGGGGGGTGCGGCCTGCACCCGGATGGCACCATTGGAGGGGTGACACCAAAATGACTGATAGTCATTTTGGTGTCACCCCCTCTGAAAAGGGGACCCGGCAGCATACCTTATCCCGCGGGTTGAACGTCCCCTACTTTCTCTGCCAGCGTCCATCACCAAGATGGCTGGCGGCAAGTATCAAAAAGATGGCCGTGCATGTGCTATGACAGCACGGCGGGGTGTCACCCGGTATCTGCTCCGGGTGACACTCGGCTTTGGGATGCCCCTGACTTTAGGCCTGCTCCCCTTAACTGCTAGCTAATATTTCCACAAAAACTGTTTTCATATAAATGTCACTGGTTTTTACCATCAAATCTTTACAGGTACATGAAGATGGGAGCATGTGTGAACCTATACTTTGCCTGAATTAAGTGCTGGTCCACACCACAAATAATGCGTTCCAGAGCGATCAGGCTCTGGAACGCACTGAATTGCATTCCGGCTGGCTTCCTGCGTACTGGGGCGTGACAGTACATTGAAGTCGATGGCACCGCAGACACACCCCGCTCGCAATGTGCGATCGCCTGCATTGCATAGCATTTTTGCAGATCGCACTGGACCGGAACGCAGGCACTAATGAGCGATCTCACTGTGAATGGGGGGCGTGGCTGCGGTGCCATTGACTTCAATGCACCGCCACACCCCCCTCCCGCCCCTGAATGCAGGGAGCCAGCCGGAGTGCAATACAGTGCGTTCCAGAGCCTGACCGCTCTGGAACGCACTGTTTCTGGTGTGAACCGGTCCAATGGGAAGTAACCAATTTGCTTGACAGCAAGTTCCAGGAGGAGTTTCTACCTCCTAGACCTGATTGGACCACCCTTGTAAACAGGGACCTAAGGTGACAATTCTGCTACTTCATACATAGAATGCAGGAGTGAGGCTCCATTCACACATAGAGATAGCGTTTTCTGCGCCATTTTCCACGATAGAGCGCAAACGGTAACATACGCGCAGATTTTACTATAGATAAACTATACTATATATAAACATGCAGATTCCGCCCAGGAAATCGCGCTACGACTTTTTTGCGGGACGCGCTTTTCATACTGCGCGGATGCCGCCCAAGTGCGAACAGCTGCAATTGAAAAGCATTCTTTTTTATGTCTAGCGCAGAAAACTGCTAATATGTGAATGGGGGCTGAGTGTAGTCAGTGTGGTCAGGAAGTGTGTTCTTAGCAGGATCACCAGGTGAAAATAAAGGGGGCAAAGAAAAGGAATGCAGCCAGCACATGTAAGGGTGGTAATCAGCTATGTATGCCATTTTTTATTTGGGAGTTGGATCCATTATCTTGGTGACATGTTTCTGGAATTCATATAAACACGTGAGGACATTCCCAGGAATGCCTGGCTGATGTCACACAGGGTGAGTGTTACTCGTACAATTGTCATTGAGTGTGTAGTTGTGGTGAGTGTTGTTCCCTCCACCTGACTGATCCCTCTCCTCCTCCTCCCACAGCCCTCTCCTCCTCCTCCCGCCTCCTTCCTCTACCGCTGCCAGGGCTCAGATTGCCGGCTCCACCGAAATGAGCGGCCGGAGCGGATTTTACCGGCAAGAGCTGAACAAGACGGTGTGGGAGGTACCGGAGCGGTATCAGCACCTCACCCCGGTGGGCTCGGGGGCCTATGGCTCTGTCTGGTAGGTGCTGTGTGTGTGAATGGTGTGGGAACAAGTGTCCTCCTGGGCCTCTGCCAGACACAGAGACTGAGGGAGGCTCGGCATGCAGTGTTCTCTGTTGGGGGCCCGGCCGCTTCCCCATTTCACAATGCGCATCTCTCTCTGTATAGGGTGCTCTCACCCTGTGTATATAGGGGGCACCGATCCTGTATATATAGGGGGCACCGATCCTGTATATATAGGGTGAACAGATCCTGTATATATAGGGGGCACCGATCCTGTGTATGTAGGGTGCACCAATGCTGTGTATACCGTATAGGGTGCACCAATGCTGTGTATACCGTATAGGGTGCACTGTGTGTGTGTTGTAGGGTGTACTGATCCTGTGTATGTAGGGTGCACCAATGCTGTGTGTACCGTATAGGGTGCACTGTGTGTGTGTCGTTGGGTGTACTGATCCTGTGTATGTAGGGTGCACCAATGCTGTGTATATAGGCAACACTAATTCTGTGTGTGTATATATAGGGTGTGGGGTGCACAGATCCTGTGTCTGTGGGGTGCACAGATCCTGTGTCTGTGGGGTGCACAGATCCTGTGTCTGTGGGGTGCACAGATCCTGTGTCTGTGGGGTGCACAGATCCTGTGTCTGTGGGGTGCACTGATGCTGCGTCTGTGGGGTGCACAGATCCTGTGTCTGTGGGGTGCACTGATGCTGCGTCTATAGGGTGTAGGGTGCAGTGATGTTGCGTCTGTGGGGTGCACTGTTTTGTGTTTGTTAGGGTGCAGTGATGTTGCGTCTATAGGGTGTAGGGTGCACTGATGCTGCTTCTATAGGGTGTGGGGTGCACGGATGCTGCGTCTGTGGGGTGCACAGATCCTGTGTCTGTGGGGTGCACTGATGCTGCGTCTATAGGGTGTAGGGTGCACTGATGCTGCTTCTATAGGGTGTGGGGTGCACGGATGCTGCGTCTGTGGGGTGCACAGATCCTGTGTCTGTGGGGTGCACTGATGCTGCGTCTATAGGGTGTAGGGTGCACTGATGCTGCTTCTATAGGGTGTGGGGTGCACGGATGCTGCGTCTGTGGGGTGCACAGATCCTGTGTCTGTGGGGTGCACTGATGCTGCGTCTATAGGGTGTAGGGTGCACTGATGCTGCTTCTATAGGGTGTGGGGTGCACGGATGCTGCGTCTGTGGGGTGCACAGATCCTGTGTCTGTGGGGTGCACTGATGCTGCGTCTATAGGGTGTAGGGTGCACTGATGCTGCTTCTATAGGGTGTGGGGTGCACGGATGCTGCGTCTGTGGGGTGCACAGATCCTGTGTCTGTGGGGTGCACTGATGCTGCGTCTATAGGGTGTAGGGTGCACTGATGCTGCTTCTATAGGGTGTGGGGTGCACGGATGCTGCGTCTGTGGGGTGCACAGATCCTGTGTCTGTGGGGTGCACTGATGCTGCGTCTATAGGGTGTAGGGTGCACTGATGCTGCTTCTATAGGGTGTGGGGTGCACGGATGCTGCGTCTGTGGGGTGCACAGATCCTGTGTCTGTGGGGTGCACTGATGCTGCGTCTATAGGGTGTAGGGTGCAGTGATGTTGCGTCTGTGGGGTGCACTGTTTTGTGTTTGTTAGGGTGCAGTGATGTTGCGTCTATAGGGTGTAGGGTGCACTGATGTTGTGTCTATAGGGTGTAGGGTGCACTGATGCTGCTTCTATAGGGTGTGGGGTGCACGGATGCTGCGTCTGTGGGGTGCACTGTTTTGTGTTTGTAAGGGTGCAGTGATGTTGCGTCTATAGGGTGTAGGGTGCACTGATGCTGCTTCTATAGGGTGCAGGGTGCACTGATGCTGCGTCTATGGGGTGTAGGGTGCACTGTTGTGTTTTTTAGGGTGCAGTGATGCTGCGTCTATAGGGTGCAGTGATGTTGCATTTATAGGGTGTAGGGTGCACTGATGCTGCGTCTATAGGATGTGGGGTGCACTGTTGTGTTAGGGTGCACTGATGCTGCGTCTATAGTGTGTAGGGTGCACTGATGCTGCGTCTATAGGATGTGGGGTGCACTGTTGTGTTAGGGTGCACTGATGCTGCGTCTATAGTGTGTAGGGTGCACTGATGCTGCGTCTATAGGATGTGGGGTGCACTGTTGTGTTAGGGTGCACTGATGCTGCGTCTATAGTGTGTAGGGTGCACTGATGCTGCGTCTATGGGGTGTAGGGTGCACGGTTGCTCTTCCAGGTGTGTACTGAGCAGCTGCTGTACCAGGAACATGATGATATGCTGCCATTTTGGTTGATTCATGTGATTGGACGAGGAGGGGATACCTAGCAGGAGATGTGCCCATAGGGGAAATGGTATCCTGCAGACTGGTGTCAAGCTTGTACGTATTTGGATGCTTGTCTTTTGTCAGTGTCTGTAGATCAGTTTTGATGTGTAAAACATACTGTATGTCTGTTTCCATGTGTCTTCTTGGTATGGTAATCAGATCTAAAGATTTCTATTGTAAACAGCTTTGAACATGGAGTGGACAAATGTGCATTCATGAATGTTGTCTATGGACCTGAATGTTCTGTTTCTGACCCTATCGTGTCTTTATTTCATTGTTGCTGTTCTGAAATCACTCATAAGATGTAGCCTATGGCCTTTTAGCACTGCTGTGCTTTTTACTTCTATTCTGTCATTGTCTATGTTACCGAGATGTGAGAGCTTTGTGTCACCTGTGTAACATATACAGCGAGCCCCAGGTACGTCTGGTAAAACATCACCCTGCACCTGACGTGAGCCGCATATATTAATATCCCACTTTTCAATCCACATGGTTCCAGGGGTGGGCAAATTAATATGGAATTCAGGAGCCAGTCTCTCCAATTCCGGAGTCGGCTTCATTGACATCTAGAGAAAACCTCAAAGGTTAGGTGCCAGCTGTACATTTTAAAGGAGTGCTGGCTCCTGGGATTTGTCCAACCCTGCCACAAAACCCACTAGCCATATATATAATGCTACTTCAAAATTACAACTGGCTTCTGACTTTTTCGGTTTATCTCTAGTTGTCAGTGGAGCTAGGTCCTGGATTGGACAGATTGGCTCTTGAATGTAAATGTGCCCACCCCTGCTATACCTAAAAGCCTAGACTGCCAGGCAATATAACGTTTGGCAGCAACTGTCCTTGATACAGAGAGGCAGCTGTAGACTGCGCCACACATGGTGACAGCCCCATAGAGATAGAGTGTGCCAAACAGCGAGTTTGGGCTAGAGCACATGTGTCAAACATAAGGCCCGCCAGACCATTTCATGTGGCCCTTGCACCTCTTTTCAGCTGTGGCACCCCCCTCGTCTCTGCTCCCACCTTGTCTCAGCAGTCGGCAGCAGAGAGGACTGAATACTTTGGATATATTGACTAGGGATGCACCAATATCGGTATCGGTGCCAGTACTGGGCATTTTCACAAGTATTAGTACCTGTATAAATGTACCTGTATAAATGCCCCTATACTAAGTGCAGATACTGGCGCTTTAAATTTTTGAACCGAAACCTGTGCTATACACAGGCACCGGGCTTCATGGGAAGGCACCCAAGGTCCCAGCAGCCTTCCTGTGAATCGCGCTGCCTGTTTACAATGCTGGCAGCAAATCTCCTCCTGTGGATCCACTGTGCCCGCACTTGCAGAGACGGACCGGGACCCCTGGTAAGACCGCACAGCCACCTATAGACTGCACACAGCCCACCTGAGAGTCCGCACAGCCCAGCATAGATCCCTCAGCCCATCTGAGAGTAGGCACAGCCCGCATAGAACCCGCACAGCCCAGCATAGATCCCTCAGCCCATCTGAGAGTAGGCACAGCCCACATAGAACCCGTACAGCCACCCATAGAACCCGCACAGCCACCTATAGACCCCGCACAGCCCACCTGAGAGTCTGCACAGCCCAGCATAGAACCTGGAAAGCCAACCTTCGAGCCTGCACAGCCCACCTATAGACCCCGCACAGCCCACCTGAGAGTCTGCACAGCTCACCATAGAACCTGCACAGCCATCTGAGAGTCCGTACAGCCCACCATAGAAACCTTGTAAGCTCCTTGAGGGTAGGGACTGATGTGAATGTGCAACTATGTAAAGCGCCGCGTAAATTGTCAGCGCTATATAAATACCTGTAATAAATGAATAAATATAGCCTTACAGATACAACCGGTCCTTTGAGGGCAACCATAATGCTGATGCGGCCTGTGATTAAATTTAGTTTGACACCCCTGGGCTAGAGGGACTGGGCCAGATGGGAAGAACTTCAGAGGGACCAGACTAGACAGTATGCCGGAGGGACTGGGTCAGGCAGGGAAATTGCCATAGGGACCGGGCCAGGCAAGGAGAATCCCCAGGGGTCCTGGCCAGGGAGGGAGAGTGCCCCAGGGGCTGGGACAGGCAAGGGATGGGGGCGGAGTAGCAGTTACAGAACTTCCTTCTTTCAGGGTGAAGCTGTAACCTGCCAAACACAGTGGTGCCATGCTAAAACTTTGTACAGGGTGTTTTAGAACCTAAGGCCAGCAATAAGTAACCCCATCTTCTTTATTAGTATGTCTTCTAATAGTTTTCCTGGTGGTTTTGTTATCCTCTTCAATACTCATGTTATTGGTGCGTGTCACACATCATTCAGGTGCTTCTCTGGCAAAAACAGAAGGCAGCCTCTTCAAGCACTACCATGGAGACCTCATACCTCTCATGATTAATACATACAATAGCAGCCAGTGTTGTTCATATCACTACTTCCTCCTTCTCCATCATCAGAGTAAACATTTGTTTTAACTGTTCCGTCAGTCAGATGGCCTGAAGTGAAATCCCGGATATTGGATCCTTCGAATGTAAACACTGCTCACTGGCTCTCCGTTGCGTCCTTCTGCATGTGTTCATTCTCAGCATGTTACAATAACACCTGCTACTAGGAAGGAAAAGCTTTTTTTCAAGTATAGTATAACTCTAGTGTGTATTCCTATGACATGCTGATGTTATAACGGGATAGTGTATGCTGGGACTTTA